TTCGATAAATCTCATCTATCTCGTCATCACTTAATTCTGATGATACTCTTTTTTTCACATTCTTTTGTATAGGATTAAAATATGCAATACGCCTTTTAGCGATTCTAGTAATACAGTTATTCAGGTGACCATTTGCACATTCTATAGTATTTTCGCGGATAATTACTAAGGAGTCACATACAGTGCAATAAATATGAAATAATCGTCTTCCAGCTTTAAATTTCCCATCTATATATACTCTTTCAATCATCTGGATAAATCCATTCTTCGAAAAGTATTTTGGGTTATATTCGAGAAGTTTCTTAAATGGATAACAAACACGAGAACACCACATTTCTGGTGTTTCATCACTATACCTATATTGCAGATTATTTAACGCCTGCACTACTACACGATTCAAACCAGAATAGTTAGTTTTAACCATTTTACAGGTATAAAGAGTTTTATAGCAATTTACGATTTATAGCAGTTTTAAAGACTTATAGCAGTTTGTAGCTAGTATTTATAATAAAATATCATATTCATTTTTATTCGATTGTTCGAGTGAAAACAGATTTTTTTGATTCGGTTAAATTAGACCCGGTCTCCCCTAGTTCCAGGCGCTGGCGAGTTTCTATAAATCACGAGATGATCGGCCGTTTTTGATCCGCAAAAGTTAATCTAACTATTTTCGAGAAAAAATGGATTGTGCCACAATACGGTTTTAATTACCGTATTCGATGAGATACACATGAATTATTTATCAAAGAATTTTTTTTCACTTCAATGTGAGACATGCAAGTCACGAGCGCAGTATTATGTGGCGCAGTGGCTTCAGTTCAGTTACGTAAAAAATACTGGGGCGAGCTTTATTAATACTTGTACAGCTAATACACAACTACATAGAATTTGGCAAGTAGCATAAATTTTGGTTTATTTTTCCGATGTGAGCTCAAATATAAATCAAGCAGTATAACATTAAAAACGTCCAAACCAGAAAGGACAACTCCTTTTAACATTACGTGTTTTGCTTACTAAATCTCGGAACTTAGGTGTACAAAGTGTGTTTTTTTTGAATGTTGCCTTTTCCGTCAATGATCCTGGATTACAAAGCTTGGGATAGAAATTTTCATAAGATTCGCGAAAAATATCTTGTATTCTTAAAGATAATTCTATATCATCCACAAAAGACGACATATCCTTTAAGGATGCTGGAATAGAAACCTGACCGACATGAAGCATAATATAAATTCCTTTAACAAGATCCATTATGTAATAGTCAACTTTATAATCTATGAATGATCAAAAAGTGATTAAAAGAATAGGAAAACAAAAGCAAAAACAAAAGCAAATAATTATATTAATCCCTTACCAATACACTGGAATCCCAGAACTTTTATATCGGCGCCTTTATCAACAGATGAATCTAGGATATCTTTCATAAACACACCAAGGCGAATGAGATCGTTACAGTTTTTATATACATCCCCCTTTTTTGATGGAGGGCTAACTTCACCCACAAATAAGGTCGCACTGGTCTGTAACTGACAAATAATGGAAACTGTGAAGTCGGGCTGTTTAGTGCGACCTTCAAATTTTCTAGTTTTGCTTTCATTTAAGGCCGTATTAGGCCATTGTACTATGTTTTTATCGGGATTATTAAAGAGTCCTTTCATTATGCGATCAAGGAAATTAGTATAGTGTGTGATCTCACTGTGTTCGTTTCTAATTTTTGAAGTTGGTAACGTTCTTAAGCAATCCAGAACAATAAAACCTAAATTCTCTCTCAAAGGTTGTTCACTAGAAAGTTTCCCACATAACCAATTAGTAGAATCATCCCGCGATCCACTTATTGCCATTTTAATTGATTTTCTGAATGTTGCTTCAGAATCTGGATCTAATAATTTTTGTTGATCCGGTGTAAGTTTTTGATGAATTTCATCGAGCAAGGACAATCCGAAGTGATCGATCATTGTTCTGGAATAGGAATTCGGGGCAAGCAATAAAATTGATGATAGAGATAAAATTTCCTGTATATTTGATTCTACGAATAATCCCTTGTCCCTCGCAATATTTAGCGACTGATTTTGGTAATTTCGAAAGATTATAGATACATTAGTCGTTCCCACGTGTAAATCATCTGCAGAATCTCCTCCATTTTCGAAAGAAAATTCGTATGGAACATCATCAATTATAATTTCATTCTCTTCCTCCTCAATGAATGGACTTTCCTCTTCCGATATATGTTTTATTGGGCTACCCTCCTCCTCAATGGATGAATGTTTTTTTTGACTATCCTCTTTCTCCTCCTCAATGGATGAATGTTTTATTGGACTACCCGGGGAAGGAGTAGTAAATCCGTCCGTCTGGTGATAATGCTTTCTTCTTTTTCTGACATCTTGTTCCGCACGAGCAAAGTCAGCCAATGTTATTGATGTTTCATTATGCTCCACTATCGTTTCTTTCAAGACATTAAGAGACCTTTCATTCTACATAAACATAAAATATTTATATAATGATGACATTAAATCTGGATGTATTAAACCAAAACCCTTACCATTAGCAAATGTTTATCTGCCTATTGCATGGGAAACAGAGAAAGAATTAAATTAAGTTTATGTTAAAGATGTGCGGGTAAAGACTAAAAAAAATTTTTATTACCTGTATTTCACGAACTTTTGCGTCAGTTATCTTCCTTTTCAAGTCTGCTTTATCGTCTGCAAAAATACCAGCCCAGAAATCATAGATACTTCCGCCAGGATTTGAATCATTCTGAAAAAAAAAAAAATAAGTTATCTACATGCTTCTGCAAGTCTATGGACGGATTTCGGCGGAACGTATTCCATCACCACTCAAGATCGTAATCCAGTGGCTAGCCGTAGTCCCAGCGGAACGTATTCCATCACCACTCAAGATCGTAATCCAGTGGCTAGCTTCTCAGTTGGACAATTACACATGGGCAGATACCGTAGATCCCAATGCTCTTTGTCAACCGCCATATGACTCACAAAAGCTGAGGTGATTCAACTAGTAATAGTGAAAACAAGTATTACTAATAGAAAGTGCCTACCTGAAATTGTTTCAACATTTTCGATGCTGTTGATTTCTCTTTCTATGTCCCGGAACTCATAAACCATTCGAGTTGTCGGGTGAGTGCCAACTTAACTTTGGACTTGTTCATTTCATATTTCATTGCATACCATTCCCGGTGATATTCAAGCGCGTCCCAATCTTCGCAAGGTGTGGTGATGAAATAAGAAAAACCCGGCTTATCTGTAAGATTACTGTCCTTTCTCATTGTTCTGAGGTTAGTTAATAAAAACAACTCGCGAGATTCAGAATTTCAGATGTACCAAAAAATTACCATCTGACAAATCGCGTGACAAATGTGCCACCATGTCACAATTTGCTAACTATGAGATTCTCACCCCCATACACTTTTTCTACACTAGATTTCCGAAATAAATTATCCCATACAAATTTTCGCATATCTATATCACCTCCACCCACACAGACAATATAAAATAATATTCCCTGTAAGAAAACTTCTCCGAGATTAGGTAATTTCGAACCTACAGCATAAATCGGAGATTAGCAATTGAGAAAAAATAGGGCAATGTAATATACACTTACCATTACTATTAATTTTCGCAACATTCCATTCCGTCTGAAATTTATTGCTTAACGTATTATAATAAAAGTATTTCGATTTTTTTATCGCACGTACGATACTGCGCAGAATTCGGCAAGTAGATGCTTATGATTCCTAATATACTGCGCCAGACTTTTGCATGTGACGAGATTCATGTGAGTAATTTCACTGCGTCTATTGTACGCGTGATGATGGTCAGTGATTTTCTCGGCAAAGATCAAAATGCTGATATATAACAAGAAGAGCAATATGTCCGTTTTATTTTGGAACATCTATAGAGACGGGAAAATCGATTAACATCGTGATGACATGTTAGCCGAATGAAAATCAGACATACCTTTTATTGCTTTTCTGAATATACTCGTTCGTTTGAATGATAATATTGATGATGTAAATAATGGTAAGTTAGATTGGTTTGATTAGTTTTGTTTAATTTTTATTTACTCGCACAAGTCAGATAAAAGGATTCACTAACAGAGACATCACCTTTTTATATAATTTCCAGGATCAATCTTGGAATACACTTTTGGGGGAAATTACGTTAATATGATCGCATCACGAAAATCTGATCTCCTTAATTTAATAATAAAAGAATTTAACGCTATCCATATGTAAAGATCATCAAGGGGTCCTTTTACAATAATATACATAATAATTTTGAGAATATGCGAAAAAGTTTGACCGGAGGAAGAATAAAAGTTCCTGGATCTTCGCAATTAGTATGTACGGTCTAAAGGATTGTACCAATCGTCACAAGAAAATATTTGACTACATTGCTCAGGTCACTTAGTACCCTAAACGTTTTTTATTTGCAATACATTAAGCTAAAATAAATTACATGGTGTAGGACTAGCCCTGGGTATATGATGCCATTTTAT